CCACGCAGGAGTACAGCATGTAGACCCAGAGGAGCAGCATGATAAAGAGGAGCCCGAGTTTCTTCTTCACGGGACTGACGGAGAGCGCGTAAAAATGGTGACAGAACAGGCTATATTCCATAAGCCCTGTGCATGCAGACCATCACACTCCAGCTGGACATATTGACAGGTAGGTACAGTTCTGTCCAGGTCCAGGCTCGGGAATCCTTCTCAAGAGTCTTTAAACGCCATTGAAGTTCACAATAAAATCCTTACTCATGAAATAAACTAGCCCAAAGTGGACGGGGACATCTAGGAATGCGATTTTAGTCAGCTGTCCTCGTTCATTTCTGCGAAAGAATACGAGAAAACTGATGAGAATGACCGGTGCACTTGATTCCCAGCCGGAGAAGCTGCTCCCGGCCGCATCCTCGAGAGTCTGAGCGCTTTCGAGAGAGTGGAGCTTATACAGCGCTGATGTGTGTGATTGACAGCAGGGCCAGCCTACCGCTGCTTACCGATTTGAATAAAGGCGGGGTTGATTAAATATGCCTGCTAATCAGGGGGCGACGTAGGCGGGGATTTTAGACAAGACACTTGGTCGCGAGCCGATTAAACGCTCTTATTGGATAGAGGAACATTAGACTGGAATCCTATTATTCCCGTTTTTGGGAGTTTCCAAAGAGTTACAAATTGTACGCAACTGAACGGTTTAGGTTCGATTTGAAATGCCATACAAAGTTTTCGTATAAGCTATAGCTGGGCTACGCCTGCATGTGTTTGATAAATTTAGCATTTTAAAAAACGCATATGTAGCCCAATTCATTGCTATATTTAAAAGACACAACTATAGGCCGATATGTATAGGGCCTAGGCCTATAGCCTATTTGTATTTTTCATATTACACTGAAAAAAACTGCGGTGTAGAAACAATTTTCAGTGAATGAAAAGATATACACTGACAGTATGTTTTTGTAAAATGTCTACTTCAATAATCATTGTTTTATTTACAACTTCGAAAAATATGTTTTTTTTGCGGTGTATAGCAGGCCTAGGCTACGTCTTTTATACACAAATTTGATATCAGCTAGTTAATCAATTAAAAATATATTCAATTGGTAAAATGAACAAAGTACATAGGCTACATCTTTTTTTAATGTGTTTTTAATAGTTTTAGGCTACATTAATTTAGCTATATTCAAAAGGCTTCAAAAGAAAAGGCGTCGGGGGATAAATATTTAAACGTCTTACACAAGTCCAGGGCAACAAGAAAATCTGCTAATCGCATTAAAATAAAATATATCGTCACTTTAAATCTGTATCTGCAAAGGAATGTGAAGTAAAAAAAGTAACACGATATTTTCCCCCCAAATGTCTTCTCTAAAGAAAGCTTTCGAATTTTGCAAAACAGTCGAACTTTTCAAAGTGTTTGTGATGAAATTTTTAATTAGGCTAAATCAAATAAACTAAAAACTTTATTAAAATATGAAATAATTTTATCATCACTTTCTAATATAATATATATTTACCGTGTCTTTTTTTGTAAGTAGGCCATCATAAGTTAAGGAGTTCAATGAAATAAATCCACATTTAGGCTAATCCATGCTGAAAGTTGTGGTTCCCTGCTGTAGCCTATATGTTGCTGTTGATGGATATGATTGATGTCAGTTTTTGTGTAGTCTTGAACAACAAAACAAGCGGCGCTTCAGTTCGCTATTAGTTTGGAAACATGCAGCTGTAAAGTGAAGAGTGTTCGACTAGCCTAAAGAACGCAGCACTTTCCGCGTTTCCACACACTCTGACATTAAGGCTACTTTTCCCCAGTTGCTCATGATTATTTCAAACATAACTAGAAACATTTAAAATTGATTACAGAGCATTCATAGAGTTTTTCAAGACTGGAAATCAGTTTAAAAATGTCCTGATAATTGTATGTTTTACAAGATCTTGGGAACCCACTTCACCATAACACAGACTTTCATATAGTCAACATTTGAAGTGGATAAAAAAAACCTTTCATCAAAGTTATACATGAATTTTGAACAATTTTGAACCCGTTCTTGTCTTAGGACAACTTTGATGAATATTTTTCATTTCAAATGTTGTTTTATATATATATATATACATGTGTGTGTGTGTGTGTGTGTGTGTGTGTGTGTACATGTATCTCTCTCTCTCTCTCTCTCTCTCTCTCTCTCTCTCTCTCTCTCTCTCTCTCTCTCTCTCTATATATATATATATATATATATATATATATATATAGAGAGAGAGAGAGAGAGAGAGAGAGAGAGAGAGCAGATGCTTAATTATATACATGCTTATTTAAGCATTATAAAGAGTATGTAAAGTCATATTATGCATGTTGTGTTATTAATGAAAGTTCAGAAAGTACTACTAACTCTTAACTAATTTGAGCCAATATTAGAACAAAATTGTGTTTAAGCCATCTATTTGAATCAAGCAACGTCTCAGTTATGAATTATGTCCAGCATGTACAACAATTTAGAAAAAGAAAAGGATAAAAATTGGATTTGCCATGTGCTTAGCAAAAAAGAATACGGGGTCAGAAAAAGAAATAAAGTCAGGACCTTTTTTCTGAATAATGAATTACCACTGAATAGTGTCAACAAAACTGGAAAAAGCAGATTTCTACTTTTTATGTTTGATTTTATGTCTCCAAAAATTCCTGTAGCTCGAACAGCAGAGCATTGCGCTTACAATGTCAAGGTCGTGCTCGATATCCAGGCAATACATGAACCGACAAAAATATCTCGAATGCAATGTAAGTAATTTAAATATAAGTTTCTAAGTTCCCTCCAACTGATACTGAATGGTGAAACAAAAATCAACATATTTTTTAAATCAGCGCAGCATTCTTTGTTAAAATGTATATTTTTCAACATGACTATTGAGTGCATCCCAGACTCTTCTGTCGCCTTTCACAAATATAACATATGAACTAGACCACATTTCTGAGATTGATGTCACTGTGCGTGTTCGAGACTGAGAGACTCCCTTAAGACAAATATATCTGTGCAAGTTTAAAGAAGCTTAGGGAATATTTTGCCAAAGAAACATTCGTCCACCCCATGACTGATTTCAAGCAAGTGGCGAGTATGTATAAATCAGTTTCAAAAGCCTTTCACTATACTGTTTTCCTTGCACACTTCGTGCCAGGAATACTTGATGCACTGCTGCCCAACGTCTGCCAAAAATGTTTGTCATTCTGCCTAACATGCTTAAACGGCAGTTAAAGAGTATTTTCGAAAAATACAGTTTCTAGCTGTCACTCATGAGTTGAGAGTTCAGAAAGACAGAATGTTGAACTTTCATTTATAAACTTCACCATATCTCTTCTTTAACAACGCCAAATGAAATCATCCCGCATTTCAGTGTAAGATTTCAAAGCATTGTGTTGCCTGTAAATGAAAAGAGAGGAGAAATCCACCTGTTGCTGTTGTAACAAATGAAGGTCTGGGAGGCTGTTAAAAACTGTAATGAGAATCCAAGCTGGATGAGAAAAACCACAGAGAGCCAAAGATCATTATGGGAAATGTGCTCACCTCCTCAGGGTTCACAGAGCTCATAATGAATGAACGCACTGTGAGAAACTCTCTCCGTGACACTCAGAGTCTAACAATATTTGTCTTGAGAAGAGGATTACTCCATTTATGATGCATCCGTCAAGCCTTGCCTGATAAAAGAGAGGGAAAAAGCATTAAAACAGGAAAATTCAACAATTTTCATAGGTAATACTTATAAGCTAATGCAAATGATCATAGCAATACCCTATAAAAGTGTCCATTCCGATGCTTGGGTACTGGGAAGTCTTCGTCCCACACAGGTTGTCCATCGCGGCAAGAGCGGAAGCTGTAAAATCATGGTGGGAGAGTCCACGGACCCCAGGAGGGCTGGAGCTGCTATTTAATCTATTGACATGTTGGGAACAGCTGTTTCACTCTCTTTTTCTCCCCCCTCCATCCCTCCATCGCCTCTCTGATGTGAAACGCACTGGCTGCATACAGACCAGATCTTTACGAGGGGAAGAATGCCTCGCTCTGCCGCCCTGACTAAATCTCAGCATACAGTATATGTGGGCATCTAATGGAGGTGGTGAGAGAAGTGGAATCATAGAGGACAACTGGGAAGGAAACAGCGGAGTAGTATCGAGTGTTGCAGCCGGACAGGTGCAGAGGTCGATGCTTAGGAGATTATATAGGCTGATATCTTAGCCAAATGTGTCCAGAGCAGCCAGACATTGTTTCCAGGCCTGTCTGGAGATGCAGTGGGATTCTTCTGTAATGCAACTCAGCCATGCATACAATTGCATGGTGAACTAAATATCGGCAGACTACCTGCCACACAAATTTGCAATAGAAATATTGGACATATACAATACAAATTTTATTGGCATAGCAAAAACATATACAACAAAAGTTGTGGGTCAGCAAGATTTTTGTTGTTGTTAATCAAAACAAATTGATTCAAAGTGACTATTACATTGTAACATAACATTTTTATTTCAAATAAATGCTGTTCTTTTTAACTTTCCATTCATCAAAGAATCCTGAATAAATTATCACGCTTTTCGCAAAAAATATATAATAATTAAGCAGCACAACTGTTTTCAACAATAAGAAGAAATGTTGAGCACCAAATCAGCATATTAGAATGATTTCTGAAGGATCATGTGACACTGAAGCCTGGTGTAGTGGAATAACATACATTTTAAAATATATTTGTAATAGAAAAGATAGAAACATTTTACAACATTATTGCTTTACTGTATTTTTTACCAAAGCAATGCAGCTTTGGTGAGCATTAGAAACATTTCAAAAAGCTTTGAATAGTAATACACATATTATATAAAATAATCTAATTTATAATAAATTAATTATAATATTTTGACTAATATATATATATATATATACACATAGTATAATGTAAAAGTGCTTCTACTGGCAGCATAGAAGTGAAGTTATATTGCATTTCAACAATTTCAAATAAAAACTCAAACACAATCTTGATCACAGCACAATTTATTAATAATAATTTTTATTTTATTTGTGTCTTACACAAGTCATTGGTACAGTGTGGTCAGATGTGAGTAAACTGAAGGTGCTGAATAAGCAAACGTAGTATCGAACAATGCATGGCTGCATTCAATGATATTCTGCACTGTTACATTCAGTAATGAATCAACAGTAATTCAGTTCTGGGGAGCTCAACTGAGTTGACTGAGTTTATTTGACTAGTTCTGAAATAATAAAGGATCTTTGATGGAGCTGATACCCGAGAGCTCTCCAAAACGATCAGCCTTTTAACATCTAAACTCAAGACTCAAAGGGACGGAGTTTCATGTAGAATAAAGACTTCTGGGCTAGCAGTGAGACTCGGCGGTTTCTTTACTGAATCATTTATTGCTGGAATGAAATATTAACAGACTTAGAAAGAGAAAACTTTGAAAATGTCATTTAGCAAGTAATTAGATGAGGCCAAACTTGGAAATGACTTGCTAGGTGCATTAAACAAACCATTCTCCATTATCCGCATTGAACCAAAATGTCCACAGTAATGGTGATGTTAATTGCAAATTCTAGGCAAAATGTATTTGTGGTCTTTATTTCAGTTAAATCCACTTTGCACATAGACATATCAGCCTACAGAAAGTTCAGTCTATGAGTTTATAGACAACAGGGGGCTGCGTCAAATAAATATGTATATACACACAAATAACAATGATTTGTGTCCAAGTTACCAGAGGGATTTTTTTTAAATCACTGCTATGTATTTACATATACATCAATGTTATTTTTCCCTGAAGGATACTTTTATAACAAATGGAAAGAGGCTATGTCTTCCCCCTCCAAAGTATGGTGTCTCTTTAGCTCCAAGATAACTCATTTTGGGGCCGACAGCAATTATCTATCCAGTACGAATATATATGGCAGAGGATTGTGCTTGCTCTACAGAGCCAGAGACGGCGTGCCGGGAGCTACAGCTGCCTCGTCCTGTGACACGCGGCTCTTCTTGCAGGTGAGGGCCAGCAGCAGCAGCATGGGCAGGTGCCAAAGACTGCAGAAGAACAGCTTGCGGGCGTTCTGCCTGTCACCCCTGCGATAGAACCTGAAGGCCAGGAAGCTGATGTAAAGGTTAATTGGCAGGGAGACTAAGGGGAACGTCCATGTGGTGACGTCCAGCACGGGGGCCAAGGCTGAGAGGCCGATCAGGCCTACGCTGTGGCGCAGGGCCACGCGTTTACAAAGGCCGGGATGGGTGACGGACATCATTCGGTACCCACCCCGCGAGTAGTCCTCTCTCAGGTTCCAGCTCAAGGCATTAAAATGAGGAAACTGCCAAGAGAACAGGAAACCTCCCAGTAAGAGTGCTCCTGCAGAGACAGAGAGAGGAAGAGAAGGAGTGAATAATCAAACAAGATCACACAGATCATTTAAACACCATTGGTGGAGGAAGGGCATGTGTGCAAGCAGGAAATGAGAGTGCGGGGAAAAACTACAACAGTGTTAAAACACTGCGTTCTAACGTCCGAGTTCCTTCACATCCTGCCATGGAGGAAACAAATACCATTCACCTGCATTCAGAAGCTGGCAGAGTGGAAAGGTGACACCGCACAAACAGCGGCCCGTGCAGAGGTAGTGGAGCATGACACGTAGGGCTGCCTTTGTGTGTGTGTGTGTGATCTTAGAAAACACACTTGTAGCTAAATCCTCTGGGAAACAGCGCAGGGCAGCATGACAGAGACCTCAAACACATAGGTCATCTTTTAAAGCTTTGTGTGTTTTTGAACGCTCTCAAACCTGGGGATTTTAAGGAAGAACCTGGTCACGAAAAACTGATAAATTGCTTTGAGAAAACAGAAATGACACCAGAGACTCCAAATATAAGATCAGTGTGTGGTTTTCAGTGTGGGATTATTTTGTAGTTGTTGTACTTTTGTCAATGTAATTTTGTTAAAATACTTTTTCCAATTCACTTTGGAGCCGCTAATGGTGCATTCATTACAATAAATAAATAAATAAAATTAACATGCTGCTATTCTTGCTATAACTTTGAGTTTAAAAAGGGAAAAGATTAACAAATTTACACAGTAGGGCCCTATAATTTCTCTGACGCAAAAAAATGGGGGATAGAATTGCGAAATCCAGTCATAAAAATGTAATTTATTGTATGACACAGAATGTCACAGAAATGGACCAAATTTGGATGAATAAATCAAAAGTAGGGCTGTACAATTAATCATTAATAAGACTATAGTCATGCAAACAGAAAAATAAAAGGTCTTCACTACAACCTGCAGAAATAAAATAATAATACAGTTTATTAAAACATTTTTTTAAGGAATTTCACCACACGATTATTGCAGTTTAAAAGAATGTCTATGATTAGACATTATTTTTGATTATTCAAATTTAATTTAAGTATTAAAACAGAATCAGAATTAGGGGGAAAATAAAACAGGATGGTTGACAAGTTCTCCAGTTGTTTAATGAGGGCAACTAGTCAACAAGGTTTTTTTTTTTACTTTATTAACATTAAAAAAATCACCCCTCTAACACAACCACTAAATATATTAAAGATATAGTTTCACAGAGAGAAAGCTCTAATAAATTAACTGAAATATTAGATTAAAAACAAAATTGAAAGAAGTAATTGTTGTTTCGATCCACTTCATGTTGCAGACTCACCCTAGATGGGGTCAGAACAATATTTAGGTTTGTACATCCTAATATACACAGGCTTGAAAAGGGCACTGAAACGGCACTACTACAAGAGACGCATGGAGTTCTCAAAGCTCTAGGGAAAAACATAAATATGCACATAAACACTTCAGTCGTTCGCTCCTGAGAAAACAGATCGCATGGTTGCCACAACAGCACACTTTTAATAGTTTGCAAAACAGGCCAAAGACCCCCTACTGTCTTCCACAAACACTTGATCCAAGTGCGAGATGTCTTTAAAAAAAATAAAAAAATAATACAGGATGCTGGGTGTATATGTAACTACAACACTCATAAGTGGACAGGGACCTCGGGTCTGGGAGAGGAGTCAGTAAAAGTCAGAAGTGCCATCTGGAACATGAAGTTTCACTTCTCTGGAATGGCTACACAACCCTGAACTGTAATGACAGCACAGAAACTATCAGAAGGAGTGCTTTTAAGACCAAGCACATATCGCAATGTGAGCCTGATAATAAATTACTAACGTTTAGCTCTGTGGCAATAGAGAAAATTTCACATGATGGGGACAATATCATCCATGTCCACAGTGCCATATATGGTGCTATGAGGAAAACCCCACAGCTCTAGAGGTCAAAAAGGGGCTACGAGAATCAGTGAGAGTTGACCTTAAATGAATAGTTCAGCCAAAACAGAGTTTGGTTGCACTGGAAACTGGCATTAATCACATGAATGTGAAAGCAACTCAAACTCAGGGACTTGTTCAGGAAGTAAAGTAACCTGCACATGCATTTTAGTCGATGACGACATCATTAGTTCAACGAAACATATGTAAGATGGATGACATTGGTGATGATTTACCTTGGATACGCGCAGAGAGAGTGCAAAAATGAATGTCTCGCAATCTGCCGTCTCCTCAGAGCCTGTTTGCAAGCAGCAGAAAGAGACCTTCATGTGACGCGCATACAGTAAACCCAAGTGCCGTTCACCCTGCTGTGCATAATAGCACCAAATTAATAAAAAACAATATATTGACCCACATCCAGTTTTCTATAATGCGCCGTGCACGTTTGTAATTACGCAAGAAGAGCGCAAATGCACCAGGGTTCGACAGAATCAATTTGAGTGTAAAACCAGAACAACGCTGTGGGGTCCACCGGGAACAATCGCTCGGACCGTAGCAAACGTGCCCAGTGTGAGAGCCCCCTAAGAGGAAGTATATTTGCTTTATCCAAGTCATTCCAGCAGGAACTGTAGTCACCACTGTATGTGTGCAAGAGGACTCTGTACCTGGATCAAGAGAGCCGGTGGCTGCTGTCCAGCCCATTATAGGTGGGATGGCGCCCACCACGGCACCCACCCAGGTGTTGGTGATGCTGAGGCGTTTCAGAGGAGTGTAGCAGCACGTGTACAGGAAGATGTTCAGAGCGCCCAGGAAGCCCGTCAGGGGATTCAGGCCCAGGGTCAACAGGGTCACACCTGGGATCCCACACGCCAGGGCGAATGACACGGCATGCAGAGGGCTGAGAGAAAGAGAGATGGAAGACACATTCAGAACAACCGAAACACAGTTCCTATGTGGGGTTTAAAGAGATCATATTTTTATTTCCCCTGAGGTCCACTTATAATCTTCCTGAAGGTTGTGGTGTCAAATACAGTAAATTTATTTCTCATAACCAAAAAATAGGGAAATATTTAGCCATTGTGTTAGAAAAACAGAATTCGATCTGGCTCAAATTATGTCTTGCACTTGTAAACAGCAAAACATGTCAACTGTAAAACCTGTCTGATGTCAGTAAGTTTCAATAGAATTTCGGTTTTCATGGTACACTGAACTTTGATTTCAAAAGATCGAGGACTAATGTGATTCCTCATGCAAGACCTTAAAACCATCTTACAGACCTGAAACAACCACCAAAATAAAATAAATGATAAATCAAACCAAAACAATGACGATGCATAAGACAGAGTGGACTGAAAAAGCAGCAGGATTAAAGCTCATGTATAACATTAGTTTCCGAGATAAGCTTTAGTGTGGTTCTATGAGTCACATCAAAACAAAGGCTTGTGGGTCTCTGCAACAGATTAAACCTCTCCTGGCCACAGACGCTATTCTCTGTGCTCCATTGGACAACCACTTCCTCGAAGGTTTATTAAAAGCAGTCAGTTCCAATCCTGCAGAGGCGTCTGGTTCAAATTCACAGCTAACTGCTCCATAAATTAGAGGAGTATTGAGACAGAGACCAAAGCAGAGAGGAAAAGAGGGCAAATTTTCCGCCCAACAGCAGGAGACTCCATTTTAATGTTATTATCATTGTTATGGCTGTTTTATGTGGTGGAGGGGTTTTAAAGTCTATATGAGTCCCATAAGTTAACGGTTGAGATCAGTTGTTTGAGGGATAAGGCTGACTAACGTTAGGAGCAAAGCCACTGGCATTTCCTCCACTACATCAATAAAAATGCTATTCTAATGCACCATAATAACGTAGAAATTTAAAATTTGTTCATTATTGAATTTATCTAGTGTTACAAAGGTTTTGTTCATCTTATGGGCCATTTAAAACAAGGACATGAGTTATTGAAATAGCCATCAGGCCTTGACAATTCAATGTATTTGACGTCATGGTCTCATATGGCAGAAACCCAGGCAAGGCCTAAATCATGACGTCAACAATAACTCTCAGAAAAAAAAGAATCAGTCACTTTAGTCTAGTAAACTGTGGTTATTTACTCACCCTTCATGATGTTCCCAAATGTATATTTTCCTTTATTATGTGTAACAAGCATTTCAGTAAAAAAACGGGTAGTGCTTTGCTGAAAACACCATTAAAAGGTCCATAAAAGTGTGACTGAATCATTATTGACTGAAACGTGTTATGACAGAGGGGAAATTTTGAAGTGAATAAGTCCATTATGGTCTGTTCATCAAGCAAGCTATTGTACGGCTTCAGAAAACTTGGAATATAGCACATCAGTTTCATTATTCGTTTTTGTTCATTTTTTTGCTTCACAGTGCGAATCACTTTCCATTTTCATTTTGTGGAAATAATTTGTGCAAGCATTCAGCATAACTGCTTGTGTCAAAAGAAGAAAAGTCACGCAGGTTTGGAACGTCATGAGGGTGAGTAAATGGTTTTCAGAAATGACATTTTGAGTGAAATATATATATACATATATACAACACACAATTTCAAAAGGAATAATTTAAATTGATCAAAAGTGACAGTAAAGACATCATTTAAAAAAAAAAAAACCTGTTAATATATCCTGTTTAAATAAATGCTGTTCTTTTGAACTTTCGATTCATCAAATAATCCTGAAAAATATATATCACAGTTTTCACAAAAAATATTTAACTGTTTTTTTGTTGTTGTTGTTCTTTTGATAATAAAAGAAATCAGCATATTATAATGATTTCTGAAGGATCATGTGACACTAAACTGAAGTAATGATGCTGAAAATTCAGTTTTGTCATTACAGGAATAAATACATTTTAAAATATATTAAAATAGAAAATGAAATAAAATTCTATATATCTAAAAAAAAAAACTATTTATATATATATACGCAAAAAATACATTTTAAAAAGCCTTCTGATTAATAATAATAATAAAAAAAGAACATACAAAAAGTCCACACAGCGATCTTGCGAAAGAAAGGATTCACAGCTGTGAGATTCTGCTTTTCCTTGTCAAATGCACATCTCTGCCTTCAGGCTTACATCATAAGAATGTGACAGTCACACGCACACAGACATCAAAGAGGACAGTGTCATCTCAAGTCTGGGTAATAACATACTGAGAGGTGTACGAGTGCTTGTGCGGGCGTAAACAGGTTGCGCTAGGAGACATCTAATGCGTGTAATGACACGTTTTGGTGACTACTGTTAGCATTCTGTGCATTTGTGTACGGGTCTAGAGATTCTACAAGAGCTACGATGCATTCCTCCTGTCACTGACAGTCAGACTGGATCTGTGTTCATTGTTGGAGTGACAGAAATAGAGTGCATATGATGGCTGTCAAATCACATCCATCTGCTTTGATATAAATGCTGCTCTTTAATCCACCTGCGTAGACCTCCTACAGCGCGGCTGAATTAGCGTCGTGCTCCTGAGAGGTTAAACCCTACAGTAATTAAGCAGCTCTGGGGGGATGTTTCCAGAAGTTTGAAATAGAGCACCATTTATCAGCTCACCTCTTTATCTTCTGCTCCAAAACGGATTTAGAAAACGAGCCTGGATTTAGGCTGTGAGGAATGTTGTGTTTGAAAGGGAGTCAATTGCACAGCTATACATTTTCCAAACCAAGATAATGCATGACATAACAATTGCCTGCAAACATAAGCTTAAAAAACATCATTTGGAGACGTAGCCTGGTGATTAGTGTGCACACTATTCTCCTCGACTACCTATTACTTCTAGACTATAAATAAATAATAATTGGCAATAAACATTTTCATTTAAAATAATTTCAAATTTGATTTTAATTTTTTAAATGTTTTAATCATTCCTGGTCTTATTGTGCTTACTGTGGTTTATTGGTGCACATTAATCAATTGATTAAATATGTATATATTAATAAATAAATACATACACTATTTATACAAATCTATTTTGTTTATTTATCTGCTCCGCCTCAGACACAACTTTTCTTTTTAGCTGTCAGCTGACAAAAAAGTTGTTTATGTTCCAATCATATCTCGATAGATAAAAAGTCTAATTGATAGGTAGAAATGTCCAATTCCACATTTTTTTCTTCACATTGAACTTCCTCTTTTATTAAAAAATGTCATGTTATAGTATTTAAAATAAAATGTGAAAACAATTTTACAATTACTTTGCATTAAATATTTACCATGCATATAACAGTTGTGCTCAAAAGTTTACATTCACATTGCAGAATACGCAATATGTTCATTATTTTAAGAAAATAAGAGGGATCATACAAAATGCATGTTATTTTTTATTAAGTACTGTCCTGAATAAGATATTTTGCATAAAAGATGTTTACATATACAACAAGAAAAAAAAATAGCTGAATTTATAAAAATGACGCCGTTCAAAACTTTACATACCCTTGATTCTCTATGTCGTTACCTGGATGATCCACGACTGTTTTCTGGACAATTGAGGGACTCAAACACAACTATTAAAAAAGGTTCAAACATTCACTGATGCTCCAGAAGGAAATGTGATGCATTTAAGAGCCGGGGGTGAAAACCTTTTGAATTTGAAGATCAAGGTAAATTGTACTTAATTTCTCATCCGGGGAAACAAGTAAGTATATTCTGTTTCTTCCAAAGGGCAGTACTAAAAGAAAAAAAAAATTATATTTCAAAGAAATAAGAACAATTTGATGATCTTCATCCTGTTCAAAAGTTTTTACCCCCCAGCTCTGGGACTATATGTAAATATCTTTTATGTAAAATATCGTATTCAGGACAGTACTAAAAAATGATGCATTTTGTATGATCCCTCTTATTTTGTTTACATTTTTAACATTTTGCAGATTCTGCAATGTGTATGTAAACTTTTGAGCAATTTTTGAAAAAAACTGTTTGCCTTGACCATCACAATACCATAACATTACTTTTCGCAATTTAAAATAAAAGCATACTAGGGTGTAGAATGAGCCGGAATGGGTTGACAGTTGATAGCGACATTATGAAACCTCTAATGTATCCTGGAGCTGGGCAGCGTCTTCGTTTGAGAGCGTGTGTTTGAGATGCACACACCACAACGGGATAAGCCGGGGTGTTTGGTTTGGGCTGTTTGGATTACTTTGACTGCTCGAGTCATTCATTAGACCCTCACGTCAACAGATCTGCCCCTTTTGTTGTTGGAAAGTGACCCTCGAGGGAGTGAGAGAGGGCAGGGGTCCTGTTCAGTTAAATTCCACTAACACACCCAATTAGTAAGAAGTAATGGCTGTCAAATGTGTTATCACGCTCAAAAACGTGTGTAAAGATGCCTGAGATGGATATAGAATGCTTCCTGATTGTTTAAATTGACAATTTTAATCAGAGCTATAGTGTAGCTGTTCCAGATGTTGAGCTGTTCAACTAATTCTAACTTAAACTTTGAGGAAAAATGGTTGAAATAGTTGTCGGAAACTTAATGGTGGTAATGGAGTCATGTAACCATGGTGTAGTTCGTTTATAGCCTACATTTAGCTTTTAGACTTCTGCTGATTGCACTTAGACATCAAAATTCATTAAATGTGTTTTAAATATCATCATGATAAACTTTTGTTAGTCACAGAGCTTATTTTCTGCAATAATCCAAAAGCCAATGAAAAAAATATTATTGTTTTTTTGTTGAAGGAACCAGGGTGATGCTAATCTCCGGATTGGCCTACAAAATGTCATCACTGCAGCACTCCATTCCTTGTCTTTTAGCCTAATGATATCATGACACTCACAACGATCTGAAAAAAAAAAAAACACAAAACTTCTCTAAAACAGTTTAGCATGCTAGTCTAAAAGCATGAAGAAGTTGCAACTGTAAATGCCTCCACTTTAAAGCACCCAAAGCTAAAACCAAAATAAATTGGGTAACATCACTACTAATCGTCTAGTCTGTTGGTGGATGGATGACCATACTGGACCGTCCTTTGTCAGCAGTGGAGTGAGACGGGAAGAACAGAGAAAGGCACACCTACACACACTTGGATCAGGTTACACAGGACAGGTGCGCGAGCGGTTGGCCAGCGCTACAGATATTAGACAATGGTGTGTCTGATATGGCAGGCTCAGCTATACACAAACACTGGGCTATGAGAACAATGTAGAGAGTAAATGATGTACATAATGAGAGTAAGGAAGCCATTTTATTCTGCAGTGGCTCTTTACACATATCAAGAATGTGTTTCAAAACCGAATGAGCTGCCTACCTTAACAGGTAGGTTGGTTCTAGGTAGGACGCTCACTAATTTTGAAAACTGCCCAAGAGTGAGATGCAGGTTTTGAAGGGTCTTACCTGATCTGTCCTCTGACCAGAGGTCTGTTTTTGGTACGATTCATGTTTGAGTCAAAGGGCACCTCGAAGTACTGTTGGGGGAAAAAATGATGAAAATTAACACAAGGTACATTAACAGCACAAAAAGTCTCTTTAACACACATATACGAAGCATCCTAAATGTAAGTGTGCATATCCCTCTCTTTTCCAGTCTAAATATAACATTGTCATTCTAACATACCTTAGACAGAAGAAACAATTTTATTCAATTTTTTTTTCACAACAATATATATATTTTTTTTTTAAACATCGCCATTACACTAAAGAATAAATCGCAATATTATATTGTGATGACCCAGATATCAAATATTACATAGTGATAGTACTTTTGCAGAGAAAAACTCCTGTATGAAAAATTCTGTATGATTTTTTTTACATGTTTTTGAAAGAACTTTCTTATACTTTTTTGATAAATCTTTAATGAAATGAAAGGTCAAAACAACAGAATTTATCAAAAAATTTAAATATATATATATTTTTTGTAACAATGTAAAAGTCTTTAGTTTTTGACCAATTTAAGTATTAAATTAAAAAAAAATCTTAAATGACCCCTAACTTTTGAAATGGAATAGGCTATATAAAATTGGTTATTGGAGTATTCTAAAACAAATTTAATCAAATTCACGCTGCTGTAGCAAGAGCACAGCTAATAATTGGTTGCACTTTCTCTTTGCAGCATACAAAAAAACCTCAAACACTTTGTGAAGGATTTTCTCTGAAACATCTGCTCAACAAATGCATGAAATTCAAACCCTTAAATGGATCGATATGAATGCATGTGTCTGAGACAGAACGACAGAGGTTGCTTAGGTGCAACAGGGACGATTAAGGTAAAAAAAAACAAGTTGTGTTTTTGTGTTTTATGGCTCCTGCTGGGGAGTCTGCACAAAATTCACTTCGGGAAATCTACAATGTGAGACTAAAACACAAACACATGGGGCATTTAAACCCAGGAACCGGTTATTCAGTCTGTGAGAGACAGCACATGCACCTAATGAAGAAAACAGATAGCTCACTTTTCAACTGAAGAATTTCAGGATCCATTTCTCCTAAAATATGGCCACCATAAAATAACTAATAAACAGATAATCCATTTCTCTTTTCCTCTCTTAATTTACTGTCCATTTGACATCGTAAAAGAGTCCACGCTTAAAAATGTTCTTGTGGTAGGTAATACATTTTACACAGATTACATTTATATTTTGTTAGATACCTCAGAGAACGGGACCGTACCACTGCGGAGGACAACGGGGGGGAAATACATAATTATCTGTGACGGTGCGTGTCTGTTTGGCCTTTCTAAGCGTCCCCTCGAGTTTAAAGAGGAACCCTGCTAGTGCTATTTGCAACAAATAATAACATACATCAATTACATGAGACTTCATGCATTTTTACATAAGGATAAGGACAAAAAAAAAGAAAAAAGAACTTCATATTTAGACTAATGTAGGACAAACAGACAGGTCAATAAAACATCTCAAGGAGGTAAAAAAACGGACTCTTTGACAAACGTGTCTAAAAGCAGTCACAGAAGATTGATGCTTTTTCATTTTGTTTCAGCTATTTTTGGCAGCGTTTTCAAACTCGGACCAATGTCATCCAAAGTGATAAAGTAGCCTGATACAGTCCAGAGGAAGTTGAAGCCCAAAGTGTGTTGTATAAAGTTGAGTGGAGGGTCTGCTGAGTCTCAAATTTATTCTCTCGGCCGTTAGTGTTATTGCACCCGAGATCCCGAACGGGGCAGGGCACAGATGTGGCCGTAGCTCAGGTCCCTGCAGTTTTAGGACCGAGGTGTTAATTCTATTTCCTGGGTCAGGAAGTGCGTCAGATGGTCGCCACAGAGAGAACTGGAGCAAATTTAGTCTCTGAAGTATTAGCCGGATGCTAACACGATTGTTGCGGAGTGTATCTTGGCTACGACTGCACATTTTAGACGTGAGATTTCAAAAGTCTTGTTAACCTGCAAAAGGACAAAGTTTACATTAAAAGACTCCCAATAGTCAGTATAAATGCAGTCTGGGACTGAACACTAGCTTTGGAGCAATCACAAGAGTAAGCAAACTGACTAAATGTATTCTGCGATACTGAAAAAGCAACCAGGGTTTTGAGAGTTCAAGATGTTTTCGGTGCCTGTCAGAAACACTTAGCTCTCAGGCTTTGTCTTATTTCAGTCTATCTTCATACATTTTCCCCCTCTCAGACTGGTACATCATCTGGTTCACATCAACACCTCTTCAGTACACTTATTGCTGGTGAAGAACATGCTTTTTAAAAAAGAAAAGCGAGTACAAGTGTTAATGAATATGAAGTGCATGAGATTACGGGCTGTCAAATCTACATAACTAAAGTCCTGTATAATAAGTTATTTTATTGTTTCTTCTGTGGATCTGTGCATATCAGAATGTTACCATAAGTTAAACAATGACTAAGGATTCATATTGTTGTGTTATTAAAGAGATTAAAGACACTGTAAGAGTAAATCTGATTTCAGTTTCAGAAGCACAATAAATATACACACTGTTCAAAACTTTGGGGTCGGTAAGATGTTTTTATGCTCACCAAGGTTGCCTTTATTTGGTCAAGGACTACAGAAAATAAACAGTAATAGTGTGATATATTATTACAATGTAAAATAAAATAACTCAACTAAAATGTAAAATAACTGTGCTCTAATTTCAGCATCATTACTCCAGTCTTTAGTGTCACATTATCCGTCAGAAATCATACTAATATGTTGCTTTGGTGCTCAAGAAACATTTCTTATTATCAAAGTTGAAAACCATGTTGTTGTTTTTTCGGGACTCTTTGATGAATAGAAAGCTCAAAAGAACAGCATTTCTTTGAAATAGAAATCGTTTGAAACATTTTAAATAACTTTACTGTCACTTTTGATTGATTTAGGCCCCATCCACACTACTGCGTTTTAGTTTAGAAACGGATAATTAAAACGAATACGATCTCCGTCCACACCAGCGTTTTAGGTACGTTTCAGAATTGATCTCCGTCCACATTAAAACGACTGAAAACGCGGATCACGTGACCATTCACTAACACTGGGCATGTGCGTGCCAGTGTAAACACAACTTCATTGATAAAAGTATCCCACCATGCTCTGGGTTAACTCCAAACCGACGCTCCATGTACGGTCAACGCCGCCGCTGCACACGGGAATTGTCACAGATCGCTCGAATAATAGCTTGACTCCGGCACATGTAGGCAGTTATAGCGTTGTAAAATGCAGAATTTACTTGTACAACAGCTGCTAGCAAAGATATACGCCATGACTGATGACACCCAATCATAGAGCCGAGCGTGAGCCTCTACTACGTCATCGTTTCTAAAGTCCTCCGTCTTGACCCGTCTACACTAAAACGCCCTCCGGAAGATTCAAAACGAAAAACGGATCGGCAGCGTTTCTAAACTTCTCCGTTTTGGGTCTCCGTTTTTGCCGTTTTAGTGTGGACGGGAGGTGCAAACGTAGCAAAAGGTCTCCGTTTTTAAACGAAAACGCAGTAGTGTGGACGGGGCCTTAATGTGCAATTTAAAGTTTTTTTTTTTTCTACTGTCCTTAAACTTTTGAAGGGTACATTTGGGTTGCATATAAAAAAAATAAGAAGAATGCAAATTAGGGCAGATAGACTGCCAGGGAGAGCACCAATCAATGATTCTTTGGACAAAGAAGGCCATCTGAGAGGTCAAAGAAGTGGACATAAGAGCAGGAAGGCAGAGGGCAGAGAACTAATGTCAAAGTACAGGCAATTTTGTCTGACTATGTGATCAGAGGCCAGATCATGGCAGTGGCTGCCAATTTCTGCTTCTAAAATCTGAAAATGGCAAATATCAATTTAGTGAAAGAACATTAATGTACAGAATTTAAAATTCAAACTTTACACTAGGGATATAGGCCAAATAATTAGTCTTTACTGCACAGCGATTTGTTACAGCAAAATTCCAGTGTATTCCGTGGGTGTATAAAGGAACCGTTGCATTTAATCCTCATTCCGTTATCCTTATGGAGTCTCAGTATATTTATAAAATTGCTACATCAGCACGAGAGCGATACTGCAGAGTTCACTGTACTCGCAGTGACAGGGCTCTGGGTTCACTCACAGTGAAAAGCACTGTGACTGCAGCAGCGTGGCAGGACAAAGTAACACACACAGCAAACAAATGCTGCCTGGACTATGAGACTGTACTAACTAATGCTGGTGATGAGAAACTTACTGTAACAGTGACAAGTGTTTACTGAAGGGAAGTGCATCCGAGGGCAAACACACTTACATAAGCATGCAAACAAACACACAAAATCCAGCCTAAATATTCTCACGGAGAGAAACACACGTGCTTGGAGCCCGAGTAAATACACACTTATAACGCAGCTGCTGTATATGAGAAAGACGTCGGCGTTGATCAGTAGAAATTGGTCAAAGTAAACACCACCTGCTCAAACACCTACTCAGCAAGCTCAACTTTTTTCCTCCACCTTTGCAAACAAAAAGTACAATCCCAATTCTCAATCAGCGCTGTGTACATTGTAAGTACATGCATTCAAAGATAATTCCTCATGCTGTCAAAGTCCAGGTGCAGAACCAGAGTTCAGGAGTTGATGAGGTAATACTCTATCGATTTAACTAAATTACCTGACAAATTTCTAAAGAACAGCAGCAGAAAGCTTCAGCTGCAAATCATCTCAAGTCCTTTTGAAAGAGAAATTCCTCTTTAGTTACAGCGACCGTTGAATCATTGTGGTTCAAGTTCAACTTGAGCTACGTGAGTTTTGCCAGGAACCTGCAGAAACTGTTCGCCAGACCACTATGCTCAGCCATGTAGTAATTATACAGAGTGCCTGCAATATGATTATGCTTTAAAAGGTGCATGACTGGATCACAGTCAGCTGCATTACAATTATGAACTGCATTTCCTATTTTTTTTGGAGAACAAAACCTCTGAATTTGTCATTTATGATTACAATTATTCGACAAGTCAACTGCATGGACTGAATCTTACCTTCCTGACACATCTGAAGAACTAA